TCTGAATGCAGTTCGTTTGGCATACCAAATCTGAAGAAAAAATCACTAATAGCCGAAGCTACAGTTGTAGCTTCCTGATTTGGTATTGCGTATGCCTCAGGCCACTTGGTGAAATAATCCATCACCACACAATTGTACCTGTTTCCAGTACAAGTTTGGGGCAAAGGACCAGCAATGTCAATCGCTACTCTTTCCATTAGTGCACCAACTTGATATAACTTCATTGGAGCACGTCCCTTATGCTTGGATCCCCTTTTAGCACAACATGTACAGCAGGTCCTGCACCATTCTTCCACATCTTGCCTCATACCTGTCCAGTAAAATATCTGTCGTAGGTGACTCAATGTTTTCTTAACTCCGAGATGTCCTCCTGTTAAACTATCGTGCGATTGACGCAACATAGCTTCCCGTAATGTTCTCGGTATAACCGTTTGCCAGGTCGCCACTTTCCCATCTAGAGTTTCCCATCTATGGACAAGAATACCATCTTCAGACTTCAATTGGTCCTATTGTGCCCAATAGTTCTTTGTCACAGGGCTTAAGCTAGACACCTTCTCCCAAGCAGGGTGCAAAACACTTGCTTTTAGAAACTCAATTATCGGCTTCAAATCTTGGTCATTCTCCTGCTCTGCTTTAATATTTATATTTGGTTCCACTTCACCATTAGCAACTCCTTCAGTCACTTTGACTTCAGCTTGATGACACCTGGTTAGTTCAACCTTTCTTTTAACACTTACTGAAATTTGGTCTTCGTTGTTCACAAACGTCATTTTATCAAAATTATTTACACACTTCCTCGGTATTAAATAGTCCAATCCTAATATGCGTTGATCTTCAAAGTCAGCCAAGTATACTCTCTGTCTGTTCTTCATGCCCATGAGCTCAATAGTTACCCACACTGGTCCCCACAACCTTGCAGAATGTTCTGTAACACCACAGAGCTTCTGTATGGCTTCTGGTACTCTTTTCTGATCCAGCAACTTGATACTCACAACGGTTTGCTGAGATGCAGAATCTATGACAAAGTTGCACCTTTGGCCATCCAGCTTCCCTGTCACATAGACACTATGTGTGCTTGCCATTTTACGCTTAGTTGTTGGGACTTTAACGATGGGGGCATCCCTCAGCACCAACCACTACTGGTTTCCTTAGGCTGACTTAGTGGTAATATTCTTCTTACACTGGCCTTGTCATATGTCCTTGCTCT